GACCTGGCCGCTCCGATGCTGGACTGGGCCTACTGCAGCGACGCCTCGACGGAGGGCTACGCGCTGCATGTCTCTGCCGCGGACCAGCACCAGCTGTGGGATGTCGCTGTCTGGCGGGAGCGATGGAGGTTCATCGATGAAGACCCGACCGCCATCGCCTCCGGGGAGGAGCTGCGGGGCGGCCTGGCGGGCAGCGCTGGGCCGGCTGGCGACTTCTCTGCCTGGGTCGACGGCGAGCTCGAGCCTCCACCCGACGAGCGCGTCATCCTCAGGCAGGGCGACCCGCGGCAGCACCCCGCGGAGCGGCCGCAGGTGGAGCGTGTCGGGCTGGTGCCCCGAGTGCCTGATGCCTTCGCTGACCCCAGGCGCTGGCACCGCCGCGTCGCGGGGTGCTGGAAGCGGGCGGCCGCCATCCACTGCAAGGAGGCCCGCGCGGCACTGCTGGGACTCACACGGGAGACGGAGTGCTTCGACGCGCACGGCAAGCACCTGGTCTCCTTCGGCGACAACCTCGCCGAGACGCTGGCCTTCGATCGCGGGCGAGCCCGAGATCGAGAGCTGCTCGGACTCACGCGCCGCGCGGCCGCATGCCAGCTGGCCGCCGGCATCATTTGGCATCGGCGCTACGTGGAGACCGCCCGGAACCCTTCCGACGGCGACTCCAGGCTGGCTCATCATGGGTGGCTTCGACCTGGACAGCGGCTCGCGGGCCGCGGGCTGCGGGCGCTGCCCTTGGCCGCCGCCGTGGGTCCGGCATGGGCGTCGACGCCCGCCGCCCCGCCAGAGGACGTCGGGCGGAGCACCCCTCGAGAGCCCTCGAGCTGCGACGAGTCGCCTCGGGCCTCCGCCGCGGAGTCGGAGCCCCCGACGCCGCCGCGGTCCACTCGGCGCCAGCGACGACGGGCGGCGGCGGCCGCGGCCGCCGGCTGCACGGCGCCGCGGCTGGCCGATGGCCTCACCAGCGGGCGCCCGGCCTTCCTGGAGATCTTCTCGGGCTGCGGCCGAGCGACGGCCGCCGTGTCAGAGGCCGGTCTTCGGGTGGCCACGCCAATCGACGTGGCTCATGGCCCGCATCATGATGTGCTGGACCGTCGCGTGGCAAGCGAGGTCCTCAGCTGGCTGTCGAAAGGCCTGGTCTGGTGCGTGCTGCTGGGCACACCGTGCACGGCCTGGACTCCAGCGAGATCGACTGGGACGACTACACCGAGTTCATGGCGCTGCGTGCTCTTCACCGTCCGGGCGTTGCAGCTCTGCATCAAGAACGACATCCATGTGTTTCTCGAGAACCCTGCCCGCTCAAGGATCTTCGAGGTCCCTCGAGTGGCGAGGCTGCTCCGACGCTTGTCGGCGCGAAGATGCCTCTTCGACATGTGCGCCTACGGCGCACCCTGGAAGAAGCCGACCGTCATCTACTCCACCCTGCCCAACAGCCACCTCCTGGACCGCAGCTGCCCCTGCCCCTCGGCGCCCCACGTGCGCCTGCAGGGCAAGGTGCAGCTCGCGGGGCAGCCTGCCGCGTGGAGGATCGCCTTCGCGGCGGCGTACCCTCCTGAGCTGGTGCGTGCTGTGGCGGGGCTGCTGCGGGATGCCGCTCCGCGGAGCTCCCTCCGCTGGCCGCGCGAGCCGCGCATCGACGTCGGCCGGGAGCGACGCCTGGCAGCCGCGGTCGGGCAGGATGGCCGCGCCGCCCGACCAGTGGTGCTCCCGCCGATCCCCCGGCGGTGCCCACTTGGGTGGGAGGGGGCAGTCGGCTTCTGGGACGGGAAGCCCTGGCGTGCCGAGGCCGCCGATGCCGCTGCCCATCGCCGGGCTCGCCGCGCGGCGGCGCGAGCGGCGGCGCCTGGCCGCCCGCCGCGCTGAGGCGCATGGCGCCGGCGACGGGGCGTGTCGGCGTGCGTCGGTGCGGCCCCAGACGGCACGCGCCTACACCGCAGCCCGCGCCGAGCTGGCGGAGTGGGCCGCGCGCCAGGGGTACGCTCCAGTGACCCCCAATGACTGGGACGTGGTGCTTGACAAGTACCTGGACGGCCTCTTCTTGGATGGCGACAACCCGTCGAGCGGCCGCTACGCCATCTACGGGTCGGCCTACGTCCTGGGCCTGCCGCCGCGCGCCAACGCGACCTTTCCCTTGGCAAAGGCTGCCTTGGCGGGGTTTCTGCGGGCGGCCCCAGAACGACCACGAGACTCGCTCAGCGACGAGTTCCTCACGCTGGCCTCCGCCGACTGGTTCTACGACAAGGACCGCTGGGGCTCTGAGGGGCCTGAGGCGGCAGCGGCGTCCTGGGTCGCCTTCGACTGCTACCTCAGGCCAAGCGAGGTGCTGGCGCTGACGGCCGCAGATGTCACGCTGCCCAGGCCGGGCTGCCCCGACACCATCGTCACGGTGGCCCCCGCGACGGGGGCGCTGCCCGCCAAGAACCGCGTGTTTGACGCCTCCACCGTCGCGGGGGCCCACAACCGGGGCTGGGTGAGTGAGCTTCTAAGGGCCCTTTGCCGCGTCCTGCCGACAGGGCCTCTCTTCCAGATTTCGTTTGGAAAGTGGGAGGAGTTGTGCAGGAAATCTCGGGCACAGCATTTCTCTCCCTCCCTCCCTCTGTCCCCCCACTCGTGGCGTCATGCTGGCCCATCTCACGACAGTTGGTATTTCAAGGTTTCAGAGAGCACTATCCAGCAGCGTGGTCGTTGGCTCTCGGCCAACTCAGTCAAGCGTTACTCCAAACCTGCAGGCATGTTGCGCAACAGACAGTTGCTCTCCGCAGCACAGATAGCTCGAGCAAAGCAGTTAACGCCTCGGCTCGGCAATGAGATCCTGGAGTTTTCCAAAGGCCCCACCCGAACCCGCCCTCCGGTAAACCGATCCAAGAAGGTTTCTGGAAGTTTGGGCACAAGGTCGCTGGTCAAGAAACGGCCAGCTTCCCTTCTTCAATAACCGGGGTTGGACCCCCCAGGATCATGCTTGTGCCGTGGGAAATGAATGTGTTGCGATGTCTTTAGCCTTTCTCAGGGCCTACGCCCGCTCCGCCCCCCTCCTCGTCGCCGCGGGATCCTGGGGTCTCCAGGCGTGCTGGCGTGGTGGGGCTGTCTTGGCGCTCTGCGTAAGACTAGGCGGCAGTTGGCAGTCTACGATTGATGGTGTGCCATATTATCGTTGTCACGATCGTAGCCGGCCCCATCTCAAGTTTTTGGCTCCACCTCCTCCTCTCCTCCGTCCTCTTTCTCCTTTCTGTACACTTGTATCTCGCCGAGCCGATGCAGGGCACAAGGTCGCTGGTCAAGAAACGGCCAGCTTCCCTTCTTCAATAACCGGGGTTGGACCCCCCAGGATCATGCTTGTGCCGTGGGAAATGAATGTGTTGCGATGTCTTTAGCCTTTCTCAGGGCCTACGCCCGCTCCGTCCCCCTCCTCGTCGCCGCGGGATCCTGGGGTCTCCAGGCGTGCTGGCGTGGTGGGGCTGTCTTGGCGCTCTGCGTAAGATTAGGCGGCAGTTGGCAGTCTACGATACACATATCTATCTATATATGTATGTAATTATATCTACATGTCGATCTATAGATGTGAGTTGCACATTTGCGCGAGGACTCGGACAACCGAGCACCCTCCTCGCGATAGTGGGGGTGGAGACCCGCGTATCTGCGACGAGGAGCCGTCGGGGCGGCGGAGGAGGAGGAGAAGGAGGAGCAGACGCAGGAACTGGAGGAGGACGAGGGGACGGAGGAGGAGGAGGAGGAGGAGGAGGAGGAGGAGGAGGAGGGAGGAGGAGGAGGAGCAGGAGGAGGAGGAGGAAGAGTACGGAGGAGGGAGGAGGGAGGAGGATCGATCGAGGAACAGATGCAAAAACATGATCTGTCAGCGGTCTGCGCGGAGGTCTCGGATCTGCGCTGGACCACTGGCGCGGAGGAGGCGCCGCCACGGGGCCCCACCGCCGATCCAAGAAAACCGCGTGTGGCTCCGAACGTGTGCATCTCTACGCTGGGTTCCTGAAGAAGCGCGGGGGGATACCCGCCCGACGGGGGTCAGCCTCGCCTCGTCGTCGCGCCGCGACGGGGGTCGGAGCGCCTTCGGCGCGCGGTGGCTGCCTGCGACGGGGGTCGTTGTGGGGCTGTCGGCGGGATTGACGCCCCCCGACGCTTATTAAGAAACTCGGAGAATACTTCCTCTATGCAGTGGAGACCCATGCCAAGAAACACCCTGCTTGCCTCCAGGGTGCGCTGGGCTATGGAAAGCGTGACGCTTCCGCGCCAAAAATCAATGGACGTCCTCGGGTCTCAGGGTTGGGTTTCTTGTGGAAGGTTTCTTGTGGTGGAGCCCCTACCGTATAGACGACGGATGGGGCCCTGACTCAGGATCCGCCAGACTTTGGTTGATTCTCCGCATTCAAATTGTTTCGGAAATGCACCCCGTATGAGGCAAAACAGTATGACAGTACTTTCCAGCTCGCAGAATACAGGGGGGAATGTCCGGCCCTACTTCGGAGGACAGGTTCACAATTTGGTGGAACATTTCACAACTTCTTGGGGCACTCCGCAACTTCGTAGAGATTTCCACGACCCTTTTCACAAAGTAGGGCGGAAGTCCACAGAAGTAGAGCAGAAAAGCAACAACGGAGAAGTAGGGCGGGCATCCACATCAAAGTAGCTTGAAAAAGTAGTTATGGCGGACATTTCCGCTCCACTTGCGAAATTGCCCAAAGTACGGCGAGTCGAGTCAGGACCCTCGGGGCCCCTCCCCCGCCATCGTCGTCGTGTTTTTCGGGTCATACAACTCGGCTCTCCGGAGTCTGCTCGGGAGGATCCGGCCACGCCGGGAACGCTCTCGGCGAGGCGCAGCCGCTGGAGCGCATCCCGAGGCTGGAAAATTGCCAAGATCCCACGCAAACGTCCGAGAACCTCGACCACGAAGACGCCAGAGCACTTCGAGCTGAGCTCCAGAGGAGGAGGAGGAGGAGGAGGAGGAGGAGGAGGAGGAGGGGATGGCTTCGGAGGGCGCCGACCGCGCCGAGGCAGCCGCGGCGCCAGCAAGCTCAGCGGCGCGAGCCTCCCGGCGGCCGGCCGCACCGGCAGCCGCCCCGCGACGGGCCAGGAGAGTCCAGGCCGCGGCGCCGCCAGTCCTCCCCGCCGTCGGTCGGTCGTCCGTCGGCCGCCTCGAGGAACAGAATTTGCTCCCAACCATCCTCTGTTGAGTTGGGCCCCCAGAGATCCAGCGTATTGACAAAAGTCAAGACGGAGTTTTCTCTCAATTTTCAGCCTCTAGGGGTCCTCGCCGGGCCCCGGGACCGTCAAGAAACGATTCAGGACTAAAAGCGGGTCCTGGGGAATCGGTCGAGACTCCCGGGGACCCCGTATGGAAAAAAACACGACATCGGATCTCTGGGTCTTCGTTTTGAATGCGCATCGCCCCGCATCCTTCCTCTTCCTTCCTCCCCTGCCCGCCTTCCTCCCTCCCTTGATGGGCCTGTTTTCCACCATCACCACCATAAGTTGGAGGGGGGGAGGAGGTGGAGGACGAAGAGGAGGAGGAGGACGAAGAGGAGGAGGAGGAGGAGGAGGAGGAGGAGGAGGAGGAGGACCCCCTCCCCCTCCAACTTATAGTGGTGGTGGTGGAAAACAGGCCCATCATCCCTGCCTTCCTTCCCTCCCGCTGCCCTCCCTGCCTCTGCCCTCCTCAGTCTCTGCTTCGGCACGCCCTTCAGGGGTCTCCACCGAAGGCCATTCATCCGAGGCGGGAATTTATCCATAACCGCCGCCTGGGGGTCGATCTTCGCGGACCTCCACAGGCGGTGGATATGGATATTTTCGGGCCCCCCGGGGCCAAAATATATCTGTATCAACCGCCCGCTGGGGCACCAGGACGTCGGTTCCCAGGCGGTGGATATGGATATATTCCCGCCTCGCACTTCAGTGGCTGCGTTCGCATCTGGGGAAGCTGGAAACACATGTCGGTCGTTGTCCGTCGGTCGTCTCGGACAGCGCATGTTCTTTTCCGAGGCTGGCTGGTCCAACTCAGCGAGGCGGATCACCGGGCGCGCTGAGGGTAATCATCGCCGACCTTTGTCGATGGGAGGCAGCCGCGAAAGGTGCTCGTGCAGAAAAGCGAGACGCTGCAACTCGCTTTTCTGCACGACATGTGTTTGTTTCAGTTTTCGTTATGTTTCCAACGTGGTCCGCGAAGTTCGCTTCGCGAAGTTTCAAACGTTTGCTTCAAACGTTGGGCCTCGTTTTGCGTTTCGTGCCAAGCGCAGGCGCGTTGTAGGCATCGCTGTGGTCGGTCGTCGGAGGTGCACGACAACAGACAGGCACGTGCGCGCTCGGGTAGTACCCGCCTTTGGGGGTGGAGGGCGGAAAAGCTGATGGCAAGCACTGTCGAGGAGTGCCGTGGCTCCAGGCAACCGTGATTGGCAAGGATGGGCAGCTTTCCAGGGCTGCCCTTGCATCCCTGCCCCTTCGGTATTCGGCATCCTTCGGTATTCTGCTGCGCTCCGCACGGAAAACGTCAACGTGGCGTTCCAAGGCCCTTGCATCCTTACCGCGTATCCTTACTATCCTGGCCGAGTGTATCCTCGGGAGGTCTTTGCAGTGGGGGCCTGTGCCAAGAAACACCCTGGCTCGCCTCCAGGGTTCCCTGGGTTTCTTGGGTTTCGATGGTCTTGCGATGGAGAGCGTGACATTTCCACACCAAACATGAATGGACGTCCTGGGGTCTCGGGGTTGGGTTTCTTGTGGAAGGTTTCGTGTGGTCGTGCCCCTACTGTAGCTTTGATGCCCCCCTTGTCACTCGGCGGTGAATAGGACTGGTCCTAAAACTTCCTCCTCCTCATCGCCTCGAGGACCAAACAATTAGGACATTAAATCTTTCAGAGGTCCGAACGGATTTCTCGGATCGGCTTTGGGTCCCCCTGGCGGCGCCTCCGGCTCCGCGCGCCAGGGAGGCGGGTCCAGCGCCAATCTTTCGCAGTTTTCTGTTCCTCTACGCCCGTCGGTCGTTCGTCGGTCGTCGTCGTCGGTCGGCCGTCGCCGGTCGTCTCAAGTCGGCCGTCTTCGTCTGTCGGTTTTGTTGGGCGTCGTCCGCCGTCGTCATCGTGGTCGGTCGTCGGTCGCCGTCCGTCGCCGTTGGCTGCCGTCGGCTGTAGGTCGCCGTCGGCTGTCGGTCGCCGTCGGTTGTCGGCCGTCGTTGTCGTCGTCGTCGTCGTCGTCGTCGTCGTCGTCGTCGTCGTCCGTTGTCGTCGTCCATGGTCGTCCTTCGTGGGGAGGAGAACCTCAGGGTGCGTGAACCGTTTTGGGGTTTCCGCGAGGATCGGTGCCCCTGTAGCAGTTGGTTCTCGACGGCAGCTGCAAAAAGTGGTGCGTTTTTTCGTAAGTCACGTGATACCCTCGTTCCTGACACGTGGGCGTCGTGAAAAAATCACGGCGGGCGTGGCTGCCACGTTGCGGGCACTGGCGCCATTTGGATTGGCACGATACGGGACATGACGCATAATTGGGGACTGGGTCGAGAGCTCTGGTCGTGTGTGTTCCCGACGCTATCTGTTTGATTTTTGCCGACCGCATCTGGGATCGATCTGCGGGGATGTCGGCGCAGACGTTGGATATGGATCTATGCCTGCCGAGTACACCAAAGATCTATGGACATTGATAATCACCGCCAACCAAACCACCCCAACCCAACCCGAAGGCCCGAGTTGTCCTCCACTTTCCGGTGGGGGGGCCCAAGGGGGGGTCGGGGAAATATGAAAAAAAAACATGAAGCCCGTACCCCGCGCCCGAACCCGAAACTCGGGCCACGTTAGGGCCTTCGGGACGGGTTGGGGTGGTCTGGTTGGCCTCCTCCTCCTCCTCCTCCTCCTCCTCCTCCTCCTCCGCCTCCTCCTGGACACACCCCCGCCTCGCGCGGTTCCCCTCGGGAGACCCGCTCTCCCTCCCTCTTCAGAAGAGCCTGCCAGCCGCCGCCGCGAGGCCGCGAGGCCGCTTCTCGCCGGCCTGCAACAGGTCCTTCTGCCGGTGCCAGGAGGGACAACAAAAACACATAGACAATGAATTGTCGATTCCTTCGAAAGTATTGGTAAAAGTTGTCGATTCCCTCAAACATATGGGGAAATATGGGAAGTGTGGTGTGGGGGGGAGACGAAAACCCAGAAGATACGGGAACATATGGGGAATCCTGGGACTTGTGTGTGTATTTGCGTGTCCCTGGGCCCCTTCACCATGACTGGCACCACCCTATCCCGATGCCGATCCCAAGGATTCCCTCAGCTTGGGAGGGCGCATCCCTGAGATTGCCGTCGCATCTGGGCTCGTCAAGCTCAGGGGCAGGGACAAGACCGAGGCTGGCTGTGCACCCGCTCGGCCTCGTTGCCGCCGCCGCCCGCGCGGTAGGCTCGTCGATCGCCTTGGGCGCGCAGTTCTTCAACCGCCGCAACCCGAACCAGCCAAGGATCGGTACTCTCGAACTGGGCTCGTCCTCCTCCTCGTCCTCCTCCTCCTCCTCCTCCTGTCCTGCTCCTCCTCCTCCTCCTCCTCTCCCTCTCCTCCTCCCTCCTCCTCTCCTCCCTCCTCCTCCTCCTCCTCCCTCCTCCCTCCTCCTCCTCCTCCTCCTCCTCCTCCTCCTCCTCCTCCTCCTCCTCCTCCTCCTCCTCCCCCTCCCCACCCGTTCTTCTCCTCCTCCTCCTCCTCCTCCTCCTCCTCCTGCTGCTCCTCCTCCTCCTGCTGCTCCGCCTCCTGCAAGCATCTTGTTCCGCGGCGGCGTGGCACGTCGAAGCGCACACGCGCACGCCTGCGGGGTGGAGTTCGCATTCATAGGGGAACGAACAATAACCTGAACATAAAAATTCTGAGGTCCGCGCGGATCTCTTGAATCTGCGCTGCACCCCCCCCCGCGGCGGGCGCCTCCGGCGCCGCTCCTGGCGCGCTCCGCGCGCCAGGGAGCGGGGGCCCGGCGCAGATCCAGGCAATCCGCACGGAGCGCCAAAAGTTTATATTGATGGCGTTTTTTCTTCTCTAATTTTGTTCCGCGGCGGGATGGCACGTCGAAGCGCACGCACGCACGCCTGCGGTATGGGGTTCGCAGCCATGGTGCGTGGCTGGACGGTATGCGTCAATAGACCAGACTCGCCCTTTTCGGCTGTGGCGATCGTTCGCGAGGAAGCTTTCGATTTCATCTGTAGCATCTGCATCAAGCCGGCCAGCACCAATGTTCGCCAGAAGAAGAATAATAGTATCAATTCTAATGACTAATGGGCATGGAGATCGGCGGCGAGATCCAAACTCTACCCTCGCCGATCATCGATTCGGGCAACTCGAAGGGCGGCGAAGGTAGGGTTCGGGCTTCGTCGAGCGTGCGGAGACATCCGAACCCTGCCCCCGACTCCCGTCCTCAGGAGAATCGATGGTGGGTGGGGGCAGGGTTCGGATGTCGCCACCCAGACGACCCACACCAGCTCCTGTCCAGGCTGCCGGCGTCGCCGCTGACGCTGTCCATTGGAGCAGGAAGGCCGCGGGCCCAGCAGTGGCCGCTGCCGGTTTGGGACAGAAGCTGCGGTTGGGCATCGTGCCGAGTTTTTCGTACCCGTGTCGGGCGCCCAGAGGGGAGAGCTTTGAGTCGGTATCGTTTAATCGGTCCCCATCCCCGTCCCCATTCCCTTGGAGACCCCCACCAAATTACCACCCCAGTTGGGGATACACCCCTCGAAACCCGAAGGGAACGACCTATATCCCCATCCAGGGGGATAAACCGGCCAGTGGGGCCCAGGCCACGCCGCTGGGGATGGGGATCGCTCAAACGATACTCACTGAGCGGCCGCGCCCTCGCTGCCGAGAACCCCACGGCCGGCGAGCGACAGATCCGGGGCCCCCAGACGTCAGGTCTTTTTTCGCTTTCGGGGCAGGCTCGAGATGCGGGGCGTTCGGGCGCTCTCCTCTCGGGGGAGCGTAAGACTCGAGCAAGCCGGAACTCGGGTTTGCCGCACTTGCCCGGGCTCAGGACACGGGGGTCAACGCAAACGGGGGTCAGCCAGGGCACCGAATCATCAGGATCTTGCGAAGACCCCTTCTGGCTGACCCTGGTTAGCGAGCAGCTCGTGGCCGCGAGGCGGCCGCGCATATTGGCTGACCCAGGTTTGCCAAGCCCTGCGTTGCAGTTTTTGTTTCCTGCATTTCAGTTTTTTGGTTTCCTGCTGACTCGGGTCTGGATTGACACGGGTCAGAAGATCCCCGAATTGCCGACGTTTTTTGACGAGCGCGTCCTCGATTTTGACGCTCGAGTTTTCGTGGGATGTATGCAGCGGGAGTTCGAGTCAAATGTTAGATGGGGCCTCGTCACTTTTGATGTTGGCCCCGTCAGGCCAACCCGAGTCCCTCGTACCTCACCGCCCACCAAACCACCCCAACCCAACCCGAAGGCCCTGATTTGCCTTCCATTTCCAGTGGGGGGAGCGTCGGGGAACATGGAGAAAGCACGTATGGAAACCGTACCCCCCCCCCCAACCCGAGATTCGCGTCCTCGGGTTGGGCTGGGGTGGTCTGGTATACGCAGTCAGCACCCGACTCTCGCGTCGCCCCGATCCTCGGTTCTTGGCGACTCTCCAGCCTCGGCGTGCCTTCCAGCGGCCGCGCCGCGCCACGAGCGCCTGCGGGCGCAAGGCTCTTCCGGAGTGGCCGCTGGAGGGCGGAGGTTGTGCCCCGAGAGGCGGGGGGGGCCCCCGGGTGGGTGGCGGTGTCCACACCCCAGGCAGCGGCGGAGCGTCCCAGCTCGCCTATGGGCCTACCAAAGAATGTTCTAATAGCCTTTTGCGGTCTGCACGAAATGTTCTTAGAACATGCCTGGCTGGGACCGTTTTGTTTTAGCACGTTGGGCTCATGTTCTAAGAGCATTGATTTTCTTCTTAGAACAGTTTGGGTTCTAAGAACAAGTCGTGGTAGGCCTATGGGAATGCTGGGACGGTCGGTCCCTGCTCAAGTGTGGTGAGTCAGTGGGGGCCCGGGGACACCGCACGGTTTATGGATTCGGGCCGCTTTCGGAGGACGTCTCGGGCGACCAAGGCCTCCGAGGTCCCCGAGCCGTTCGGTGACGGACCGCGCGGTGGGGCCTCGTGGGACCGCGCGGTCACCGCACGGTCCGTCACCGCACCGCTTTGGGACCCCCAGGAGAGAAAGCGGTTCGGACGTCCGCGCGGATCTCTCGGGTTGGCGTTGGCCCCCCCCCCCGGGCGGCGCCCCGCCGACGCTCGCCGGCAGCTCGGATGCTCGTTCCCAGCCATCCTGGGGTGTTTGGCCCCCGCTTTGAAGGGGGCAGCGCCCAGCGTCACTCCTTCCTCCTCGCCCCATTCCTTCCTCTCCTCCCATCCCTATCGCCGATCTGTCAGCGACGTATCGCCGATTCAAGCTCGATGTCCCCCCCCCCCCGCTGAGCTATTTCCCTCCCCGTCGCCCCCATTCGTTATCCCTCCATCATCGCCCTTCTCTCCAGAGCTCCGGGGACTCAATGGAGGGTGCTGCGAGAGGCGCCCCAGGGTTTCCGTGGAGAGGCTAGCGCCCCTCAGGGCACCCCTCACGGTTCGGCGGCGAGCGATGGGGGGGAAGTGAGAAGGAGAAGGCCTTCTCGGAAGGCGGCGGAACTTATCAGAAGGCGGGAGGCCTTCCTAGTCTTCCGAGAAGATCCGCCCCTTCGCACTTTCCCCCCCCGGACTCGCCGCCGAACGATGCCCAGGGGGCCCCGGCAGGGGCCCCGAGAAGGCGCGACAAGCTTGGGGCACCTCTGGGCCACGGGCGCCTTCCAGCAGCCCCCGAGGCTGAAGGGAGGCCCGCCCAGGCTGCCTCGGGCAGAACTCGGTGCATCCGACGGGTACCCTAATTCAAGAAAATTCCCAAGGATTTTTCTTTGGGTGGAGGGCAAAGGGTGAAATCTGAAATGCTGTTTCGATGGATGCCCGAGGCTTGAATATGTAAAATGTGTATCACAAGACGGATTGATTTTCGAGGTGCCAAAGCCCATATGGATTCCACCCTGAGCCCTCCACCCGGAGAGCCTGCTCAGAAAACGCCAGAAACATAAACGTTTCGCGCTCCGCGCGGGTTTCTTGGATCCGCGCTGGGCTCCCCCGGCGCCGCGCTCCGCGCGCCAGGGCCGGGGGGTCAGCGCGGATCCAAGAAGTCCGCGCGGAGCGCCAAAAGCTTAGGTTTATGGCGTGCATTATTATCCTGCTGCTGCTCTTCGTGCTTGTGGGATATTCCAGTGCATCCTGGGGAGGACACCGGGCACTCCTGGATGTTCTATGTGCTTTGGCCGGCGGAGGGCCTCATGTTCTTGGAGGATGTTTTTTGTCCTAGGTCCGACGGGACACGCTCCCCGCGAGTTGATGCAGACTCGGTCAGTCCCCTCCGACTGGGTTCTGACCGAGACCGCCTCGTCAGACTCGGTGCGACTCGCCCTGGTAGTCAGGACTCGGTGCTCCTCTCCCTCAGCCCGCCCCCTCCCGCCACACTTCACCAGGCTCCGCGCCCCCCAGGTGACGCCACGTGTCGCAGCCGCTGGCCGCCGCCACGTCTGGATCAGCATCCGACGGGCTTCCCTAAATTTGGCGATCTTTCACCATTGCGAATCTAGGCATCCCAGATGGGATCAGAGGAGATGGGGTCGGAGGATCGCGATGCATCGGGGATGCGGTTCGATGTGGAGCCCGAGTTTCTCGACGCCGACGGCGCCGAGGCATCGCCTACGTCGCTGGAGCATCGCCAGTGCATCGCCTGTGTGCATCATCGGCGATGCGGCGCGATCATCCGACCTCATCTGCTCCGACCCCAGCTAGGAGGCCTCTAGCGAACCAGCCTGTTGCGCACGGCGACAGCAGAGTCTGACGTGCTCACGGGGGAGGGGGCGCCGGGCTTCGGGAGACACGTTCCTCCATTCTGGGCTTTCGTGGGCCTCTGGGCGCTGGGAGTCGCTCGCACTGCCCAATACGCTCGCCGTCTTCGACGTGACTGTCTTCCTCGTTGTCCTCGTCCTCCTCCTCGCCCTCCTCGTCGTCCTCGTCCCCGTCCTACGCCGTCACGTCCTCGCCCTGCTACTCGTCCTTCTCGTTCTCCCCCTCGTCGGCCTCGTCTTCCCGCACGTGAGGACGAACATGCAGCTCATCTTCAATGCCCTCCGCCTCGCCATGGCCGACCCCTGCGCGAACGAGAAGTTCTTGTCGGACTCCATCGACCTTTTCGAGACCGCGTCCAAGGAGCCAAACGGACGTGGGGAGGAAGAGGAGGAGGAGGAGGAGGAGGAACGAGGAGGAGGAGGATAATCAGGAGGAGGAGGAGGAGGAGGAGGAGGAGGAGGAGGAGGATAGTCAGGAGGAGGAGGAGGAGGAGGAGGAGGAGGAGGAAGGAAGTGGATAATCAGGAGGAGAGGAGGATAATCAGAAGAGGAGGAGGAGGAAGGAGAGGAGGGAGGAGAAGGAGGAGGAGGAGGAGGAGGAGGAGGAGGAGGAGGAGTGGCCGCGTGGCCACGGGGCAGAGCCCGTGGGGGCGCCAGCGATCCACGCACGCTAGCCCTGGCCGAGTCGCTCCCGGGCCTCGGGCTGGCACGTGGCCGGAACTTGTGTGCAGGTGGGCCGCTGCAGCCATCGCGTTGCCACAAGGGGAGGACCTCGAGGAAGGACTCCTCCTCCTCCTCCTCCTCCTCCTCCTCCTCCTGCTCCTCCTGCTCCTCCTCCTCCTTCTCCTCCTCCTCCTCCTCCTCCTCCTCCTCCTCCTCCAGCTACATACCTGAGGAACGAGTGAGCTCGCCTGGCCACGGCGAGCCTCGGCCGCGGAATTATATGTTCCTCGACCTAGGTCCGACAAGGAGTGTGCCGACGCCAGGGCCCCTCGGGTTTTAGGTTTTGGGTTTAGGGTTTTTGGTCGACAGGAGCGCGAAGATGTCAACATACTGGACGTGTCACACACTGGCTCGGTGCTCACATCCCACCCACCCTAGAAACCCAATACATATGAAGACACACGCACACACATTTTGGTGCATGCAAGCCATCGGAGAAGGCCACGTGGAGCAGGAACGATCAAGGACGAGCATCGAGGAGCACGCGGGAGGAACAGAAGGCAGGAGGAGCAGCACAAGAGCGCGCGGCGGCCCTTGGAAGGAACGCGCGGCGGTCCCTGCGAAGCGCTCGCCGTCCTCGAGCGGGCGCCGCATGGGCGGGATGTGCCCCGCACCGTATTCGTCATTGGCGATCGCGAAGAGCGCGTGGGAGGTGCTCCTGGGAGCGCCTGGGAGCGTTTGGGAGCCTGGGAGCGCCTGGGATCACTTGGGAGCGCCTGGGAGCTCTGGAAACGCCAGGGAACGCATGCGAGCGCCTGGGAGCGCTTGGAATCGCTTGGGAGCGCTTGTGGGCGGTTGGGAGCGGCTGGGGGCGCCTTGGAGCGACTGGGAGTGCTCGGGAGCGCCTGGGAGCGCGTGGGAGCCGCTAGGAGCGCGTGGAACGCTTAGAAACGCATGGCAGAGCTTGGGAACGCTTGGAAGCCTTTGGGAGCGCCGGGGAGCGCATGGGAGCGCCCGGAAACTCCTGGAACCGCCGGGTCATTGCGTGGGCGCGTCTGGGAGCGCCTGGGAACCTTTGGGAGCGCTTGGGAGAGCTTGGGAGCGTCTGGGGGCGCGCTCGGGAGCGCCCGGGAGCGCATGGGGACGCTTGGGAGCGCGTGGGAGCCCCTGGGAGCGCATGGAAGCGCCTGGGAGCGCGTGGGAGCGCCTGAAAGCGCCAGGGAGCGCCGGGGGTCGCCCGGGGGCGCGCGGCGGTCCTTGCGAAGCGCGCGCCGCCCTCGAGCGGGCGCCGCGTGGGCAGAATGTCAGGGGCGCGCGGCGGCCCGTGCTTCGGAGTGTATGAGGGCGCCTGGGACTGCGTGGCGGTCCCTGCGAAGCGCGCGCCGTTTTCGAGCGGGCGCCGCGTGGGCGGAATGCGCTCCGCACCAATTTTTTCCAACGACGATCGTGAAGGGCGCAGAACCGCCGCGCGGGCAGAATGTGCCCCGCGCCACCTTTTCAATGGCAGATCGCGAAGGGCAAGGAATTCGTTCCCCTCGGCCGCGCGCGCGGGACGTGGCCCGCGCCGCATTTGGATGGAGGATCGTGCGAATTTAGGATTTAGCTTCGCATGGCGATGTGCACCGCACCACATTTGTAGCGGATTATCGCGATGGGCAAGGGATTCACTCCTTTCGTCCGCGCGCGCGGGATGTGGCGCGCGCCACACTCTGAATGGAGGATGGTGCGAAGTTAATTAGGTATTAGCTTCGCATAGCGACGCGCACCGCACCACATATTTAATGGATGACCGTGATGAGTGTAGATATCAGCAAGGACGGGGAGGAAGGAATCAATTTTCCTTTCGCATTTTCGATAAACCGAAATTTTGGTTTCGAGTTTAGGGCGTGGCTGCCAGGCAGGGGGGGGAGGGGGCGAGGGCGCGAGCCTGGGGGAAAGTCGACCTTCCAACCCTGAGCCCCCATGTCGGTGAGGTGTGCCCAGGGCTTGAAGCCCCCGCAGCTGCCTGAGTGCGGTCATGCGTACGCCTGCGTGCTCTAGCGCTGGATATCAAACGAGGTTCCAGAGGAATCAAGTGCTGGGTGCTGCGTGGCGCTGGGTGCTGCGTAGAGCTAGTGCTGCGTGCTCTAGTGCTGGGCATCAAACGCTGGTACGTCCCGGGGTTCCTGCTCCCGCGCGCAGTCTCGGCCAGGTTGCAAGGCTGCGAGGGGTGCAAATTCTCGCCGCCCGGTATTCAAAAAAAGGCGCCGAAAGCAGAGGGCGTGCGAGCGGGCTGTGCCCACAATCCCAGTGCACAGAGCAGAGATTCGCCTCCTTTTGGTGATGGGGACGGCGGATCTTGAATGGGAGTATCCCGGTCCAGATCTTTGATCGGGGGTCGTCCGTGTTTTTTTTTTCCCCGCCACTTCCAGGAGGAGTAGGAGCGGATTTTGACCAGATCCCCCTCCTCTTCGCCTCTCGCGCCCTCCTCCTCCTCCTCCTCCTCCTCACTATCCTCCTCCTCCTCCTCCTCATCATTATCCTCCTCCTCCTCCTCCTCCTCCTCCTCCTCTTTCTCCTCCTCCTCCTCCTCCTCCTCCTCCTCCTCCTCCTCTCTCCTCCTCCTCCTCCTCCTCTCCTCCTCCTCCTCCTCCTCCTCCTCCTCCTCCTCCTCCTCCTCCTCCTCCTCCTCCTCCTCCTCCTCCTCCTCCTCCCCCCCGCGGGTACCGCTCGTGTATAGCCAAATGCAGAGCTGCCCGATGAGGGGGCGGCGACGCCTGCGACGAGCAGGAGGGCCTTGACAGAGATCGCGGTTAGACGTTTCGAGAGCCTACATGTTCCACGTGCGATGTCACGCCGAGCAAATGTACATTCAACCCGCATAGGAAAGGTGAATATTTTTCTCAGGCAGTCCTTGCATTCTTGCCACTTCGGCCCATCCTGAGCGACCTTCGCTGGCCAACCTCGTTCCAAAAATCGTCAACATGGCCTTCTAGGCCAGTGCATCCTTACCGCGCGTCCGTAGTATACGGGTTGATTGCAACGACCTGATATAATCCCGATGGACGGTTTCCCCGTCCCCGATCGTTCGTACGTGGTTTCCTTATTTTTGTTGCTGATTCTTTATTCACCCCTTTTTTGTTTCTCCTCTTTCTGCCCTTTTTCTCCTCTTCCTACCCTGTCGTCCCTTCTCGTTCTCACCCCCCTTTCCTTTGCCCGCCTCCTGAAAGTCCCTCGGGAATATCTCCCCCATCTTCCCCCCATGACCTTCGCCGGTGATACCGCGGCCGCTACTGCCGCCGCCCCTGCCTCCACCGCCGTCGCCCCCCAGTCCGCCCGCCCGCCCGCCCGCCTGGCGCGTCGTCGTCGTCGTCGTCGCCGTCGTCGTCGGGGTCGGGGTCGTCGTCGTCGTCGTCGTCGTCGTCGTCGTCGTCGTCGTCGTCGTCGTCGTCGTCGTCGTCGTCGTCGTCGTCGTCGTGCTCGGGGTCGTCGTCGTCGTCGTCGTCGTCGTCGTCGTCGTCGTCGTCGTCGTCGTCGTCGTCGTCGTCGGCGGGGTCGTCGTTGGGATCGTCGGGGTCGATGGGTGGCCGCGAGGACGTCCGGACCTCCCGGTCGGGGCTCGCGCTCGTGCACCGGGCCAAGGCTCTCAGGTCGCTGTGGGAGTGGCGCCGGAGCTGCGCGCAGGCGCCCCGGGGGGGGGGGGCGCAAGCTGTCTCAAGCTCGGGGGCGGCCAAGAGGGGGGTGCTGACTAGGGTGTTGGGGCCTGGTTTTCCTCCACCACCACCACTATAAGTTGGAGGGGGGAGGGGGTCCACCCCTCTTCTTCTTCCTGCTCCTCCTCATCCTCCACCTCCTTCCCCCCTCCAACTTACGGTGGTGGTGGTGGAGGAAACCAAAGGCCATCATAGGGGGGGGATATCATGGCGGAGGCTATGCTGTCTCCCTAGATTTCATGGCGCCCTCTTCTCATTTCAATGCGTCCCTGCCCCCCCCCCCCTCCTTTGGCCGCGCACGCGCCGCTGGCCACGATTTGCGGCCCCCCCTCTTGGACACCCCCCTCTGGGCCGCCCCCGACAAACGCATCAGCCACAAGCCGCCAGATTGAGCCAGACGTGCCCCGATCTTTGCAACAATCCCCCTCCCAACGTTGTGTATGTTGCCCTCCCGGACCTGGGGAGCCACATCGAGGCCAACACTGAGATGCAGTCGGCGAGGATGGCGCGTCGACATTGCAAGGTGCAGCCGCATGTGGCCACACATAACTTGTATTAGTTCGTCTTCCCACTGGTGCACTCCTCCCTTCGTCTTTCATATAAGCCTTGTAGGCCTCCCAGTTGGGACGAGGATCGCGCCGCATCGCCGATGCATCGGCGAAGCGGCTCCATGTGGAGCGCGATTTTCTTCACGCCGGCGTCGCCGATGCATCGCCGACGTCGCCGATGTATCGGTGATACATCGGCGATGCGGCACGGTCCTCCGACCCCATCTGCTCGGACCCCATCTAGGAGGCCTCTAGACTTCCGGAGAGCAGAAATGGGCAATCCTCAGGACGGGTGTTAGCCCACCGCGGGGTTGCCTTCGTCCTAGACTTTCATGTCAAGAAGGGACCATTCTCAGGGCGCGTGTCCACCCACTGTGTGCCTGCCCTCGTCCTTTCATCACAGTGGGGACCCATGCCAAGAAACCCCCTGGCTTGCCTCCAGGGTGCTCTGGGTTTCCTGGGTCTCGATGGTCTTGCGATGGAGAGCGCGACGCCCCCACAGCAAAAACCGGTGGACGTCGTGGGGTCTCAGGGTGTTTTTTTTTGTGGAAGGTTTCCTGTGGTCGGGCCCCCTACTGTACCGTCGTCGATGGCGTCCACGGCGGCAAGATCAGCATCGGTCAGCGACTGGCACCTCTGGGTGGCTGAGGCAGCCTCAGTTGGCGTCGCACTCGTGAGACCGCGAGGAAGACGGCACGGGACGTCCCGGGGCCTCAACGGTTGGGTCTCCTGTGGAAGGTCTCTTGTGGACTGGCCTCCGCTGCGCACCGCCTGCGCGCCCCCGCCCCGCCGGCTCTCGACGGCTCGGGCCTCCTCCCTCCTCCCTCCTCCTCCCTCCTCCCTCTTCCCTCCTCTTCCCTCCTCCTCTTCCCTCCTCCTCTTCCCTCCTCCCTCCTTCTCCTCCTCCTCCTCCTCCTCCTCCTCCTCCTCCATCCCTCTCTCCTCCACCTCCTCCTCTTTTCCTCCTCCTCCCCTCACTCCTCTTCCTCCTCCTCCTCCATCCTTCTCCTCCTCTGTCCTCCTCCCTCCCATCTCCTCTCCTCCTCCTCCTACCTCCTCCTCCTCATCCTCCTCCTCCTCCTCACTCCTCATCTCACTCCTCCTCCTCCTCCTCCTCCTCTCCTCCTCCTCCTCCTCCTCCTCATCCTCCTCCTCCTCCTTCATCATCATCTCATCATCATCATCATCATCATCAGCATCCTCATCCTCCTCCTTCCTCCTCCTCCTCCTCCTCCTCTTCTTCACTCCCGCCTCCCTCCTCCCTCCTTCTCCTCCTCCCTCCCCTCCTCCTCCTCTCCTCCTCTTACTCCTCCCTCCTCCTCCTCCTCCTCCTCCTTCCTCCTTCCTCCTTCCCTCCTTCCTCTCTACCCTCCTTCCTCCTCCTCCTCTCTCCTCCTCACTCCTCACTCCTCCTCCTCCTCCTCCTCTCCCCCTCCCTCCTCCTCCTCCTCCTCCTCATCCTCATCCTCCTCCCTCCTCCTCCTCCTCCTCCTCTTCCCTCCTCCGCCTCCTCTCCGCCCTCCTTCTCCTCCTCCTTCTCTCCTCCATCCTCCTCCTCACTCCTCTTCCTCCTCCTCCTCCCTCCTTCTCCTCCTCCCTCCTCCTCCTTCTCCTCCTCCTCCTCCTCCTCCTCTTCCTCCTCCTCCTCCTCCATTCCTTTTCCTTCTACATCTGTTCTCCCTGTCGCACCCCGAGGCCAGTTTTTAGGGCGGGCCCTGTGTTTCGACTGAGAATTTCTCACAATTTATGATTCTGAGGCTCAATTAATTGGCAACCGTTCCACAGATGGAGGGCGGGTTGTTTTCAAAATGTGCTTCTCGCCTTAGCGCGGCGCACAGTTGTTTTAAACATGTGTGGGAGTTTCACGGATTGAGGGCGGGTCGTTTTCAAAGTGTGGTCATCGCATTAGCGCGGCGCACCTTCGTTTTTTTTTATGTGTAAGAACTTCACGGATCGAGGGCGGGTGGTTTTCAACATGTGGTTCTCGCCTCGGTGCGGCGCACACTCTGTTCAAACAAATTATCCCAGTGCGACCCTACCTAGGAGTTGGAACCCCTAGGAAAGCAGCATTAGTAGTAACAGTAACGCTAAGCTAAAGCTAAGCTAAATCTAAGCTAAAGCTAAGCCACAGCTAAGCTAAAGCTAAGCTAAAGCTAAAGCTAAGCTAAAGCTAAAGCTAAGCTAAAGCTGAGCAACAGCTAAGCTAAAGCTAAGCTAAAGCTAAGCTAAAGCTAAGCTAAAGCTAAGCTACAGCTAAGCTAAAGCTAAGCTAAAGCTAAGCTAAAGCTAAGCTAAAGCTAAGCTAAACGCTAAGCGAAAAGCTAAGCGAAACGCTAAGCTAATGCTAAGCTACAGCTAAGCTAAAGCTAAGCTAAAGCTAAAGCTAAAGCTCCCAGGGGACTGGGGGGAACCGCGGGGCGGGGACTGGGGGAACCGCCCAGGGCGCTTTGCACTGCCCGGCCCCTTTAAGCTAAGAGAGTAAGAACCCTTCGAGGCAGAGCCTAGGCAGGGAATTATAAGAATTTCACAGATCGAGGGCGAGAGGTTTTCAACATGTGGTTCTCGCTCTAGCGCCGCGCACATTCGTTTGAAACACTTGCAAGAGTTTCACGGATTGAAGGCGGGTGGTTTTCAAAATGTGGTTCTCGCCTTAGCGCCGTGCACATTAGCGCTTGCAAGAGTTTCACGGGTTTGGAAGGATTCAGGATTCAGGATTATGCGGGTGCAACAGTTACGTTGGTTCTCTGTGTTGAAGTCCTAGGAACGGTGTTCTGGCATGGTCAAGGTGGATCCTTGACGTTGGGACCCCGAGAACAATGCTTTGGCATGCTTCAGGGTCTTCAAACGGGTGCCTTCAACGAGGTAGTTCTATCAATAGAAATCAGCCGTTGTAGCGGCCTATGAAGGGGAGCTTGGAGGGTGCGTTTATTCCAACATCCTTGATGACTCTTGGGTTTACACTGGTCCTCCTCCTCCTCGCCTACCCCCCTCTCCTCCATCCGATTTCCTTCTAATTAACTACTTCCTGTCGTACCCCCAGACGTGTGGGTAGAGCGTGCCGGGTGTTTCGCTTGAGACTTCTTCACCCATTCTAATCGTGAAGCTTGAAAGTTGCAAAAGTTCAACGGATGGAGAGCAGGCCGTATTCAACATGTGGTTCTCGGCTTAGCGCCGCACACATTCTCTTCAACAGTTTGCAGGATTTTCGCGGATGAAGGATGGAGGGCGGTTCTTTTTCAAATTGTGGTTCTCGCCTTAGCGCCGCGTGAATTCATTCTGAGAGTGTGCAACAGGTTCTAGGGTTCGCATGGCCCACGTCCTAGGCATGGCGTTCTGGTAAGAGTAAGGACTGTCAGAACGCAACAGCCACAACACAACTCCTATAGGAGTTGTGTTGTGGCACGATGTAGGGTTGTCGGGACGCAGCAGACACGTTGATTCGTGATTATGAAGTATCAGGAATGGTGTTTTGGAACGATTTGGAATTCAGACGGTTGTTTTCCAATGGGGCATTTTCCGCAATAGGGCTTTGTGAGGAGGGTGCTTTGAGGAAGGGTTTATTGTTATCGTTAATGCGTCTTGGGTTTATACTGGTCCTCCTCCTCTTCCTCCTTCCCTTTCCTCCTCCTCCTCCTCCTCCTCTTCCTCTTCTTCCTCCTCCTCATTCTCTCTTCCCCATCCTCATTACTCCCCCTCTCCCTCCCCCCTCGTCATGACGAACTTCGGTGAAGGCTTTTCGGTGCGACACCGAGGGTTGTCGCTTCAGCTGCCTCTTCTGCGCGGGCGGGGAAAGCCCCATTCGAGGGGCGCGGACCTGCCCCGACCCTCTTGCCCCTGGAGGGGCATCTGCCTCGTCTCTTGCTCTCTTGGCCGCCCTCTCGTCTCGTGAAGCCCGTGCCCTCCTCCTCGCCATCCTCTTCTTGGCGACGAGCGAGGGGGGGAAATGAGAAGGGGCGGGCCTTCGCAGAAGGCTCGCAAGTCCCCGGGCCTCCTTAGAAGTTCTCTGAGCCTCCCCCGAAGATGCAGGAAACTCCTCCGCAGGCGCGAGGGCTCCCGAGAAGCCCCGCCCTCTTCTGCCAAGGCCTGCCCCCCCCTCGCGCGCCGCCGATCTTCCCGGACCGGCGACGCGGGGGCTCCCTGGCCGCACCCGGAGCCCTTTTGGCCCCTGGCGCCCTCCCGGCGGCCGCCGCCCCGCAGGCGCGCGCCGAGCTCGCACAGGCGCACCAGGAGACCGGAAGGGAGGGGGGGGGGTCAGCCATCGCGCAGGGGCGGGTGGGGGGTGGGGGGGGCGGGCTTCTTTGGAGCAGCCTCCTTCTAAGAAGCCATCCCCCCTCCCTCCACGCGCAGCCAAGGGGGCCTTGATTGAAGTCGGACATGCCCCTCTACAGGAGGAACATCCAGGACTGGTCGAAACATGGTCTGTTGACGATTCTTCGTGCTTTTGGGACTACGCTTGATTGCTATTTGACCATCTTCTGTTTTTCGCCCCAGATCCGCCTGCAGGAGGACACGCCCGACCTAAGTCTTGAATCTCGGGTGAGTTGTAATTGGGGGTCTACAACTGAGGGGTGAAGAGAGCAGCGCCCCTGGCACCTTTTAGGGGCTCTCTAGGGGGCCTTTGTTGCTTTGCACCTTTTGGAACATGTTCGGCGCGGAGGCTGCGCCAGCGGTTCACTTCCATCACTACGAGATCGCTACGGGAAACTTGTTTAGCAGCGATGCCTGGGAAACCATACTTCCGAATCATGGGAAACAAACCCATCGCTGAACGACTGCCCCCGCCTGTGGTTGGTCAGGGCCCTGAGGTGTGGCGTGGAGGGTGCCCGTGCTTAGGCGAAACGGCCCGGACCACCTCGCGCGTGGCGTCGGGGAGCCCAGATGTTCGGGGATGTCTCAGCCGAAACGGCCAATCCCTGACAACTCAGAGAACGAGAGTTGTCAGAGTTGTGAAGTTGTCTCACGCGAAACGGCCCGGACCACTGGATTTGTTGGAGTATGTCTTTCTTCCCACAGCAGCAGCAGCCTCCGCGTGGAGAAGGACGAGGCCCGAGTGGCGCGGCTGGGTCGCCGCCAGAGGGTTTGGTGTTTTCCTTTTCTCCTTGGACTTTTGGAGGACGTTCAGGGATAGGCAGGTCCCCTGCAGAGGCGGTCAGTCTGCGTCCCTCGGAAGATCAGAGCAACGATCAAGTAACCAACCGATCAACGAATGACTGGCTGACGACGGCCCCTCGGCTGGAACCAGTTTCTGCCACAACTGTCTCTCCTTTCCCTCTCGCCCCCATGTGCCTGACGTCCCCTAGAGTGGTGTGGCGGCTTACAGGATAGTTGCCGCTCTCCAAGCATATTTGTGACGCAGATAGTTTTGGCTTGAGGCGACACGTCACTCAGTATGTGGTGCACTTGATGAGGACTCTCATCCCAGTCAATCCTGTTCTTGCTCTCCTGGGCTCTCGCCCGTCCTCCCGCCTGCCCATGTCCAGCGACAACAGCGCCCCGTTCCGCAAGCTGCTGGGGGCACCGTTCTGGGGTTCCGGGGCCCGCGCGGAGGCGCGCAGAATTTTTGGGCGGGACCCGCCTTCTCGGTCCATCCTTGGCCACCGCGCCCCGCACTAAAAGCTTCGACATGGGCGGCCAAGAACCTTGCACCCTCATCGCGCATCCTTATGATACGAGCCGACTGTAAAAGATCAGTCAACCAATCGATCAACGAATGGCTGGCTGACGACGGTCCCCCGGCCAGAACTAGCTGTCTGCCGCAGCAGCGCCCCGTTCTGCAAGCTGCTTGGTGGGCACGGTTCTGGGGGTTCTGGGGGCCCGCGCTGCCCTGCGCGCAGGAATTTTTGGGCGGGGGCTCTGCCTTCCCGGCGGGGGCGTGGGCGGGGCGGGCCGCCGCGCGAGGGGGCACGCGTATTGCTCCTCCTCCGCCTCCTCCTCCTCCTCCTCCCTCCTCCTCCTCCTCCTCCTCCTCCTCCTCCTCCTCCTCCTCCTCCTCCTCCTCCTCCTCCTGAGCGCGGACCGCGCGCATCGGGCATTCGAACGGTCTGGACGGCGGCCGATCGATTCTGTCGTCGGGCTCCTACAGCCGGCCCGAGGTGTCAGAGCGAGGTCGGCTCGGGGAGGTTGCATTGACGTTATTTTCATGGTTGTTGGATGTTCTTGCGCCGTCTCCCGGGGACCCTTGGACGCTCTGCTTGCTTTGGCCGACGGAGGGTCTCATGTTCTCGAAGGATGAGCTTCTGGCATAGGTCCGAGTGTAGTCGAGCTCCTACGCGAGCGATGGGGAGGGGGGAGCGGCTCTCCGCCACAAAAATATAGAGACAGAAACCAACCAATGGATTGTTCCTGGGCCTCAGGGGAGGGCGGCGGTGCATAAATCACCACTGAGAGCCAGCGACTTTCTACACCGCCACCCTTATTGAAAGTACAACTGCAAAGTTCGTCTGAGGGTGTCTGTGTATATGAAGAGGATGAGGAGAAGGAGCAGGAGGGGGAGGAGGACGAGGAGGAGGGACAGGAGGAGGAGGAGGAGGAGGAGGAGGAGGAGGAGGAGGAGGAGGAGGGGACGGAGGAGGATGAGGGCAGGAGGAGGAAGGCGGGACAGGAGTACGAAGAGGAGGAGGAGGAAGGAGGAAGAGGAGGAGGAGGCAGGAGGGAGAGGAGGAGAAGGAGGGACAGGAGGAGGAGGGACAGGAGGAGGCGGGGAGGAGGGGGAGGAGGAGGGAGGAGGAGGAGGAGGAGGAGGAGGAGGAGGAGGAGGAGTGGGAGGGAGGAGGAGCAGCGAGCAGGAGCAGGAGCAGGAGGAGGAGGAGGAGCGGAGGAGGGAGGAGAGAGGAGGAGAGGAAGAGGAAGCAGAGGAGCAGTAGGAGGAGGAGGAGGAGGAGGAGAAGGAGGAGGAAGCGGAGGAAAGAGGAGGATGAGAGGGAGGAGGAGGGAGGAAGAGAAGTATCGAAACCATGGGGTCGTGAGCGGCTCCCTCCCGTGGGCAGCGGGGGCCCCGCCTGGCCAGGACATGCTGAGGGAGGAGGCGCGGGGCCCGCCGGCCGTGTCGGACTGCGCCCCGCCACCCCGCCGCCGCCCTCCGCGCGCGGGAGAAGCGGCACCGCCAGGGGACGGATCCCTGAGCCCTCCTTCCTGCCTCCCTCCTCCCTCCTTCCGGACTCCCTCCTTCCTCCTCCCTCCTCCTCCCTCCCTCCTCTACTTCCTCCTCCTTCCAGCTCCCTCCCTCCTTCCTGCCTCCCTCCCTC